TTGGGGGATGGAGAAGGAAGGCCTTTCTAAACAAGATCTCTCACACTCAGAAGCTTGTAAAAGAAAAAAAATTGCAATTTAGATAACTCTTCCCTCCCCCCAAAAAAGGAAAATGCAAGCAAGAAAGACCTCTGACCTCTATAGATTTTCATGAACAACTTTAAGAAACTGGGAAAATACTTACAATGTGATTATAATATGTGTGAAAAGCATGGTGTGATAGGCAGAAAAATGGCTCCTCAAAGATGTCCTTTTCCTAATCCTGTGTGAGAGTATGTCACATGACATAGCAAAGGAATATTAAGGCAGCAGATGGAATTATGTTTGCTATTCAGCTGATCTTAAAAATGGGGAGATTATCTGCGAGGGCCCAACATAATCACAAAGGTACTTATCAGCGGAAGGGGGAGAAGTCAAGGGTGAAAAGGACTTGGCCAGTCTTGTTGACCTTGAAGATGAAGAAATGGAGACACAAGCTAAGGAATGCAGGTGACCTCTAAAACATGGAAAAGGCAAGGAAATCAGTTGTTTCATAGAGCCTTCAGAAGACTACAACCCTGCCAACATCTTTATTTTGACTCAGTACGACCCATTTCAAACTTCTGATGTCCAAGAGTGTAAGATAATAACAAGTTTGTGTAATTTTAAGCCTCTAAATTTGTGGCAGTTTGTTAGAGCAGCAATAGGAAACTAGTGCATATTGTATATCAGTAAAAAAAGAACATAATTTTAAAATGTAATTCACAGAATTAAGAAACATAGATGTCCAATAAATATGGTTAAAAGTACTGAACTAGTATCAGTAGTAATGCACTAGTAATTACTAGTACCACTAGTAATCAGAAATCAAATTTAAATCTATTTTGCCTAATAGATGAACAAAAATTTTCAGTAGATACTATCCAACTGTGTTCCTCTCAGATCCAAGAAAGGAATCTCTTACATACTCTGGGTAATGGTCTAAATAAGAAAGATGTTTTAGAAGGAAATTTGACAGAATCCATCAAAATTAAAGACTGTATCCTTGTGTATAACTATACACAATTTGAATCTTTTACAGTGAGAATATCTTTACATCTCACTTGTGAAACTCCAATACATAAAAAAAAGAGCCCAAGGGCAATTAAGAAAACCTGTAACAAATGCAAAATGGAAGATGACTTAACTGTGGTGCAGGGGGTGGAAGAGACATACTGCTGCCACAGGGTTTTAGGATGGGTGACAGCGGCATTAGCTAATCATTTTCCCTCATCACCCCTGCTGCTGGGGGTCTTCTCTCCTGTCCACCGTCAGCATTCTGTTGACTGCATCTGTCTGCAAGTGTCTGCCACCCCCGCCCACGGCCGTCTGGGACACGTGACTGAAGGCTCAGTCCGCTAGCCGTCTCGGTGCTCTGTGCAGCTGCTGCCTGGATTGCTAAGTACTAACGATGAAAGAAGTGTTTCATCAGTGGACACATGTTCCCATAACAGCACGCATCCTTGGGGATTTGTACGCCTTCTAACAGAATCCTAGGTAAACTCAGTCAGCTGCTCCAACAGGTGCGCAGGCTAGGCTTGGAGATGGCAGATGGGCTACCACTGTTGCCAAGTTCTAGATTTATAAGAAGCATGTAGCAGGGCTGGCTCAGAGACCATGTCATTGCCCCTTTTTCCTTTCTTGTGTGACTCTTTCCCCAACACTTTATCGTAAACATGCAAATAAAAACCCCTCAGTGGTGAGCTCCCAGTGAAAAACTCACAGATTTTATCTTTGTGATCAGAATATGTAGGTGGAAGAGAGCTATCTAGTTAGATGTGAACACAAATGCCCTTAGTCATTGTAGACTATTATCTGGGAAGACATTTCTGGCCTTCTTGGCCAAAACCCCATATCTTAGAGACAAACTAAGGCCCAAGAAGAAAAGGAGTGCCTTTGGGTGTTGCCATGAGTGGGGAAACCTGGACAAAATCCTCTCTCTAGAATGGGGGTCCAGGCATCATTTTCTCAGCATTGGCCTGCCTGCCTTCTCCATGTACCTGAGGTGGCATTCCGATACTTAACTGAGCTATCCTATAGGAACATGTTGTTATACATAATTTTAAATTTGCTGTTAAAGGCTTGAGCTTTTTTAAGATTTCCATACTGTGGACTGAGAGCTCAAATTAACAGATCTCTGAATAACTGGCCATTGATCAGCTTAGTTGGGGGCTCAGGAAATAAACATCCCCCACTTGGTGGTTTTGTAATGTGTAGCATGCCTAGGTTGAACTACATTTTCCAAAATTCCCTTTCTTGCATGTTTCTGGTTAGGATGCACCCCAAAGGAGATTCTTGTTGGAGATTTGGAAGGTGGATGCGAAGCAGCAGCATCCCACACATCACTTTGGGCTGGCTCACCTTGTTGGCATGAGGCGGCACCTGGCCCTGTAACTGCTGCCCCCTCTCTGTCCTCAGTTTCTCTAACCCCTGGGCCTTGCCACGTGTGTGTGTAGCTCTGTGGCCCAGCTTATGCAGGATACCCACAGCCCCTATGCCAGAGGCAACATGAGCTGACATGGGTTTAGTCTGTGCTTGTGGCTTCAGCTTATTGCTTGCCGTTCCAGCTTGTTGCCTTCCCCTGCTGTACATCCTTCCCTGCCTGTCCCACAGACTTGAACCCCAGCATCACACAAAGACAGCAGCATTACAGAGACTGCGTTACCATCTACCGCAGTTACATAAGCCATATTTCTGTAAATTCATATGTATTACGTATTTTATGTGTATACATACACACTTGTGGTCCTGTTTCTCCAGGTGACCCATGACTGCCATACACCTCCATCCCCCCAGAAATCATTGTTTTTCAACATTCCTTTATTAGTGGTCTGGGCAGAGTTTTGGGGGACATTTTAGACATCCAGGATCCACCCTCTGGAATTCTCCAACTTACAGAAGTGTTCCATACCCAAAAGAATGCAAAGTTAATTAAAACCCCAGCCCTCTTTGGTAGTGAGGCAAAATTCAACACCCAGCAAATACAGCAAAATAAACCAAAGCGCTGGGGGCAGAGAGCAGCTCAGTCCAACAGGAGACAAGGAAAAATGGAATAATGAGGGCAGAAGGAATAAAATGGTGGGAATGAGCTCCAGTAGTGGCAGTAGCCACAGCAAGAGGCCCGGACAGGCAGTGGACGTGGGTCCTGAATGGGGGAGAGAAGAAGCCAGAACTCCTTTGGAGTTTGGGGAGCAAAAAAGCCTGTCATAAGCAACCCTGTGGTGTCACTGTGCTTCACAAAAGACACTTGTAGATGCCCGTCCACACCCCCCCACACACACATAGCAGTTGGTGCTTGGAAGTACATACTCCATGTCTGGATGCCCTGGGTATCAGTGATCCACAGTGTTCAGAGGCAAAAAAATTATTAAAGATACTATTTCAAGGAATATTCATTTATCGCCTAGACAGCCTACAAGTAACTTTCAGTCTCATTGTTCAGGATAGAGTTTAATGTTCCAGATGCTTAGAAGTCTGTTAGAAGCCAAAACAAAGGAGGTTTGGAGGAAACCATCTGAAGCATTGTCCTCATGGTCTCACTGATCTTTACCTTGGAAAAAGCTCTCAGATATTAAGATGTTGAGGAGAATATGACTAGTGAAGGAAGAGGGAGAACAAGCCTTCCAGAAAGTACCTCTGGCCTGTGGTGCTAAGATAACGCCAAGTCAAGGGAGTTATTAGGAAAGTGGAGAAAATACTCATGGGAAAGACTGCCTCCACCTCAAGCTCACTGGTTGGTTTTGCAATTTATACTGTTCTTGCCCAGGAGGTCACCTTATTTTACTAACATACGAGAGACCTAAAAGCAAGCTGTCCTCTTGGATTATTAAAGAAAAGTGCTTTCCTAGAGTCGTGATACCACTTTACTGTCAGCTTTCCATTTCCTCTGTGTTTTATATTTTTGTGACACATCACAGATGATGATATTCATGATTATGGCCCTGGAGCAACAAAGAAAGTTTTCCTGTTCTCATGTGGTCTGTTAAAGAAGGCAGGAAGGTCTGTAAATACACTCTTTCTACTTTTTAAGTTAACTTAGTTGTTCTAGGAGCTTCCTTAGCTCTGATTCTCATAACCCTTCTGGCCTGGACAGAGATCATGCTTTTCGCCTTTCTTGAGAACGGTTTCTTTTTGACTCTCCGACTCCCAAGGCAGCATTTCCAGTGCTAGGTTCAGAAGGACACCTGATGCCCCAGTGAATGAATCTTGAGCTGTTCAGTTATCCACAAAGTCAGGCATTTACTCTGTTTTCTAAAAATGAAATAGAATTTGGGTGAGCCTAACTGAAAAAAACGTCCACAGTGGGTTGACATTAATTAATTGGGTGAGCTCTCTGTGTGATTGGCTGGAGGACAGAGTCTCCAAGGACAAAGCCTCAGCGTCGTTGTCTCTGCTCGGCACCTCCCATCAGGTCAGTTCTGAGTCTTTCCTCCTGTGTGTAGTGGTTTTCAGCCATACCCACAATTCTTTGTCCATATAAAACATGATCTTGGACACACCATTTCTTTCTGGATGCAAATAGCAATCTAGTCCCTCAGAACTGTTTTCTTTCTATTGAAAGCACTACCTGGCCAAAAAACAAAAGGCAGGAAAGGGAATGCAAAGCTGAAGATGCTACTTGAGATTATGTTGACAGTTTTTTCTTAAATGATACTTTTATGTACAACAAAACCAGACATCCTGGCTGCACCAGGATCATGAAATAAAGAAAAACCTAAGGAAGGATAATTATTTTAATAGCTGCCCTCAGGGGAAATCACAGATGAGGGTGAAATTCTCCCAAATTAGCAATTATATAAATCTTGAAGATTGTAGCACAGCAGGATTTAAATTCCATTTCCAAAAATGCTTAACTCTGCCAAAAATGAATGGACGTGATTGCAGCTATCTGTGTTTTTGACCGCTGCTCTTGCAGCTGTGAAAGTCTGACCCACACTGAAATGCCTCCCTGACTCAGCCTTTCTGTGTCCTCGTCCCTGCAGTGCGAATCTGTCCAAGGCCGCCTGGGGAGCATTGGAGAAAAATGGCACCCAGCTGATGATACGCTCCTATGAACTTGGGGTCCTTTTCCTGCCTTCGGCGTTTGTAAGTTTGCACTTGAAACTGCCTGACTGGTCATATGTGAAGCGGAATGGGTTTTTATGTTCTCTCCCTTAGCCGAGATGACCTGCCCGAGCGGGAGGTAGCGGGGCCAGGGTTCTGCCCCAGAGCCCGCTCTCCACCACTGGCCCATGCCGATGGACCTGTTCAGCGCCCACTCTTCTGGGTGTGGGGGATCGCTGTCCTCAGGGACTGTACCTGATCAGAGATGGAAGATACAGCTTTGGGTAAAGTCAGTAATGGTATTTAAATAAATATTGTGAAACACAACATGAAGATGTATTATGAGGTAGTGACGAGTCACCAAAGAAAGAGTCAACCAGGTGTGGGATGTGTTTAGGTCAGGGTGACTGGAGGATGCCTTTGGAACCTGGAGGGCTTGTGGGGTTGAAGGATGCCTAGGATATAGGGTGAGGGGGAAAGGCATCCCTGTGGGGAAGTGGGGGGAGCACAAGCCAGAGGCAGGGAAGGTCACAGTGCCCTCTAGAGAGGCAGTTCAGGGGGTCACAGAGGACCTGTGCAACCAGACTCACTCGTAAGCCCCTGGGAAGACACTAGGCTAGAAGCCATGTCTCCCAGGTCCAGCACAGCCAGCCTGTCGCCAGCTTTGGAGCAGCTCTTGGTTTCTGCAGCTGAACACCAGACAGCGTGGCAGGGTCTCACATGGCCCTGGGTCATACCAGCCATATGTCTCTCTGAACACGAATCACTCCTGGCCCTGAGAGATTCCCCGTCCAAGAGGTGCAAAGGCCTGAGACCTCCCATCTCACTTGCCCCTGTGCCCGCTGGTGGACTGCAGTCAGTGTTGCCCATGCAATGAGATGGCACATGCTTTTTTCTTCCCCTTTTTTTTTGTTTTTTTTGCCACTTGCTATAGTTGAGTTTGTGATAAACACCCACACAATGCAGCTCCATAGTAAACCACTTGGACTGGACCAGAAAGTTTAGCTAAGGGGTGGTGCCGAGTCCTTGTCCGTAGGTGTGAATCGGCCCCATGAAGCATGTGGCATGGTCTTAAGGCTGCTGGAGAACATTTCCCGCCCATCCAGCCCCCTCACTGGTTCTTTTCTTGGGCATGCTCATGTGAAGAGTTCTTCTCTCCCTTTCTCCTCGCCTATATTTATCCATCCTTTCCTTCTCCATTTCAAAAGATTTCTCTACAAAACTACCTAGCAGGCCTCTCCTGAAGGTAGTAGCATAAGACTCCAGCATTTTCTCTTTCCTGTAGTCAAACAGGAGGTCCTAATGCTGCTTACAGCTGAAGATTTCCACCTCCATGGCCCTGTAGGTGGACTGTTACCCCTTTTCCTATAGACAAGGATGTGACTTCCCTAAGGTTCTTCAAACCTCAGTCTTCTTAACTGGTCCCTCCTATGATCTTTCAACTTTCTTGCAGGGAAACACTAAATTCACAATGCTAGGGTATTCAGTGTTTGGTATGAATATATGTATAGCAACTGTAGCTTTGAACTGAGGCTTATAATAACTTAAGTAATGGAATAAATTCCATGTCATTGTAGGTTGGCTTTTGTTGTGAGCATTTCCTAAATTCTAGTCATTTCTAACTGTTCTGACCTGATCCCTCATCACAAAAATGATGATAGGAAAGAAATATTACACTTCCAGGTTCCCTAGACCCTTCTAAGCTACAGAATTTTACCTCCAATACTGTTTCTGTCTATACATTAGGGAGCACTAACAAAAAATGGGCACAATCATTTAGAATCCCCAAATTAACCCTACACTAGACTTATTTTTATACTTTTAGAGTAAGAAGCCCCACTATAGCACATCCTAGGAAAAATGGACATTCACTTACTTATAAAGACCAACAGCAAGAATATGCAAAATGGTTTCCACGCCTCCTATGCTATGCCCACAAACCTTAGCATGACGCCCACAAGCATGATGGCCATGCAGTGACATAGTGACTATGTTAGAAGAGTCTTAGAAGACAGCAGCTTCTCTGTCAATCATAGCTCCTTAGCATGTCTAAGACCTAAGATACAGATCTCAGAACAGTGCTTTTAAAAGCAGTCTTCCTCCAGGATACTGCGTAAGAACCCACAAGCTGCCACTCTCTTGTCTTCAGACATTCTCTCAGCTGGTGGGTTGTAAGTGACTTGGGCAAGGTGCTGAAAGTAGGCACGTGAAGAACAGACAGAAGTGTCTGACCTTGCCCTCCCAAGGAGCTCGTAGCCAAGTTATGCAAAAAGGTCATAAAAGCCACAGAGGCACCGTGAGAGACATCCCAGGTGCAACCTGGGTGCTGGGGCACATGAGGAAGGTACCTGGCCTGAGCCAGCAAAGCCCAGAGGGCTGAAGGTGGGCATTTGTGTTCTTTTAATTGCATTTTCCAGAAACCAGCTTGACCTTACCTAAGAGGGCAATTTGAAAAGGGAGACTGTCACGGAATCGGAAAAGAGCGGATCAGCCAAGACTCAGAAGGGCAGAGCCAGGCCAGCCCTGGGACCGCAGCAGGAGACGGCCTCTGGGCTGCTGCCTCTGGTGGGACTCCACCACAGTGGCTTCTCCGCCCAGTTCCCAGCCCTTCTGCATTTACAGTGACCCTGTCATGCCTCCCTCCCCCAAGCCAACCCCCAGTAGTGGGCCTGTTTTCACAGAAGGGATTGTGAGCTAGGAGGCCACCCCTAGACAGAGGTCAATACTGCCAGAAAGTTTCACCCCTAAGTGAGTCAACGTATTAATCTCAGTAATGTGGTTTCAGGGGATTTTCCAACAAAGGACACTTTGACCTTAGGCTACTATATCACAGCATCTTTGTCACTTACTGTTATGTGAAGCTTCTGGATAGCAGACCTGTGCTTGACCTTCACAGAATTAACATTTATGGTTTTAACTCTGAGGGCAACATAAAGGTCAATGCCATGAGATAATTTATCATTTTGCTGAGGTTATATGAGCACAGAATGAAACATTTAGCTTGTGAAGGAGAAACTTTGCAGCAGAGCAACTCGGTGTTTCCACCTGAGGAGGAAGGAGGTGGGGTCTTGGTTCCTGTGAAGCTTGCGGGTAAGTTAAGGGAACAGACAGAGGTTATTACAGCATTTGAAGACAGCTCCGGAACGAAGTGCTCAGGACGTAAAGTCTCTGAGAAGATGGGAGTGTGTGATCCAACTCAGGGAATCGGGTAGGGCTGCTTGAAGGAGGTGACATTGACCTGAGTCTTGAAAGATGAGTGTGGGCTTAGCCCAGCATCAGGGAAGGTGAGGCTTCCAGCAGAGGCACTAGTGAGTGTTATCTTTAGAAGCCATCCACAGTTGCACATGCCTGGGAAGGGGCTGGGGGCGGGTCCCAGGCCTTGACGTTGGAATCCTGTTCCAAAGGATACTGACAAGCAGGATACTCTGGGGCTGGATCTTGTCCCATGTGGATAGTAGAAGGCCATCCATTTCTTAAGAGGGGTTAGTGGTGTCCTCAGCCAATTTTCAGAGAATTTGAATCTTAAAATATATCTCCAGTTATTGTTATAATTTAATATACATATTTAATTAATATAATATATATTTAAATAAATTAATATTTAATATATAACTATATAGTTCAAAAGGTACCTGAGGATTAGGACCTTGCAGATATCCCCAAATCACCATCTTAATCACTTAAATCATACTATTATATAAATCTGATCATTGATCACTGTTTACCGTTCACCCACTGTGCTGGCTCAGAGTGTAGAAAGCCATCTCTGACTCCTCCTCCATGTCTGTTTATTTTAATTTGGTGCTTCATGCTACTTAATATCTCCTTAATGCTGCTTGATAATGTGAGGCTTCTGGCCATCCCTGCTGCCACTGCATTTAGGGCATGTTAACTCCTGCTACAATACCTCCCACCTGCTTCCCTGGGCCTCCTCAGAGCTGCTCTCCACCTTGCTGCCAGAATATCTTTGTAGACTACAAGTCGGTCCTGCTGCCCCCCTGCTACAAATCCTGTAAGACTCCTTTGCTCAGCTGACATTTCCCTTGGTGCCCTGACTCCTGACAATTCAGGCTTGACCTCTTCCCTGGCATCCCTATATTTCCCTCAGAACTGTGATGCTATGAGCCAGGCGCGCACCTGTGTTAGCACTCTCCCAAGAAACAAAACCAATAGGATATGTAGATACATCTAGAAAGAGATTTATTGTGAGGAATTGGCTCACATGATTTGGGAGGCTAAGAAGTCCCAAGCTCTGCCATCTGCGAGCTGAAGACCCAGGAAAGCTGATGGTGTAGTTCCAGTCCAAGTCTGAACCAGGAGCCAGTGCTTTCAGTCCCTGTCTGAGTTGAGCAGAAGATCTTTGTCCCAGCTAATAGGCAGAAAGAGCCCAGTCACCTTCGTCTTTTGGGTCTACTCAGGCCCTTAATGGATTGGGTGATTCCCACCCATACTGGAGAGAGCAATCTGCCATCATCAGTCCACCGACTCAAAGCCAGTCTCATCTGGGAACACCCTCAGAGACATACCCAGAGTGATGTATAATTGTTACTGGGGTATCCCATGGCCCAGTAAAGATGCTACATAAAATTACTATCACACCATCATGCTAGCCAGCCTTAACTTTATTAGGAAAGACACCCCTCCTCCCCCAAGCCCACCTGCCCACCTCACTTAGCTGTCTCCACTCCAGGTGGCTCTCCTCTGCATCCCCTCTGCATCTCCTCTGCATCTTTCTAGAACCTGGCCTTATCACATATTCCCTGCATTGTAATTGTTAGCTTATATCTCCTTGACTAGACTGTGAGCTGCCTTCTACCAGGGCCTGGTGCCTGGGAAGATCTTAGTAAAAGTCTTTGTTGATGTTGCTTCTTCTGTTAGTTTCCTGGAGGACACACTGCCCTTGTGTGAGGAAAAACAGATGTGCAAACAGTAGCTGTGGAGACTGGTTTATAGCCCAGTGGGTGTTGCATGGAGTAGGTGCTTAAATATGTCTAGCAAATCTTGTCATCGGCTATTTGCAATATGGAATAGCTCACCTTAAA